CGCACCTTGTCGTTTTTGTACATTTAGCTTCTTGCTAATCAAAAACCTTTCAAAATAAAGCTTTTTAGAAACTTTTGAAAGCCATTTGCAAGAGAAATGATTGAGCTATCTAATGAAAAAAAACCGTATTGGTAGCTTGAGACTTATTCAATTCGGAAATAAATTTGGGTGCAAGGCTTAGTACTCAATCAAATGAACACGATGCTAATCAAAATAATGAAGATCATTTTCAGGATTCCCATAAACTACCTTTTGCTCGATTTGAAGAGCCTCTTCAAAGAGCTGAAAATGCCTCATGAAGCGGATGCATCGTTCAAAAAACTTTCCAAAAAACAGGTTACCTATTTGGAACAGGACTAAATAAAATCTTTTAGCTTGAGCGTTTGACAACAACAATGATTGATGCAGAGAGTCAATTCGAAGTGATTGAGCAAATGGGTCGTTTGATCGAACGTCGGCTCCGGGAGGTAAACTTTGATGTTTAAATAAAAAAAATCAGAATAGCATCTAATAATGCATCTACCGTATTTACTCTATTAGTGGGGTCCCCCACTATTTTTTCAATCCCCTTCCAGACGACCCCACTATTAGAGAGGACCCCACTATTAGAGAAATTTAAAAGAACATAAAACCAAAGTTTTAAATTGAAAAGATATAAATTTTTCTCCGAAATTCTTGACAAAACAAGTTTGGCTTCATATTTTATTTAGCTTTAACCGTAACAAAACATTAACAAACAGTAAAAGAACTAATCCAAGAGATCAACAATTGATGTATCACTTTCGTTACCAATATCTTCTTCCAATTTGATTGATGAAAGGTGATTGTTGATTCCGGAGATGGCGCGTTCAATTCGAGCATCGGCGAGTTGTTTGGCTCCTTCGGGGATTGGACCATCCTTCTTGAAGCAATGGATGAGCCTAAATTTGAACATTAGGTAACAAGGAAGGTTAATAACAAAAAAAATAGTAACTACTAACCCGTCCTCCGATCCATCAGTGCTTGTGGTGATTGCGCAGGTCTTGAACGAATGTATGATGAGATTCTTCGGACGTTCATTCCAGGCTATCCACACCCATTCTAAGTATGTTTCCATTGGTGGTGGGGCTGGGTTTCCGTTTTTGTTCAAAGGCCTCTGTCCGAATACCATCCAATCTTCGTAGAGGCTGCGAATCCTCGCCTTGAAAGGCGCATTCCACACAACATCTGGCGCTTGAATGTATTTCGTGCATCCGCCAGGCACCAAAATCGAATCGACTTTTAGCTCTCTAAGTTTCTCATTGGTGGCCGCACTTTTGTGGGCGGAGAAACTGTCCCAAACGATCAATCGCTTTCCAAAAGACAAAGATCCAAGAGTTTTTTGTAAGTAAATTGCAATCGATTCATCATTCATCCAAGTGGTTCCTCCCCAGTGAAGTTGTAGTTTTCCGGAAAACTTAGAAAAAGTTTTTAGATCGGGGCGAACTCGATTTAAAAGTACAAAAGGTTTGCATTTGACTCCATCGTCCCTTGCTGTTAAGATCACACTGATCCGCATTTTGTCGTGCCCAGTCGAAAGTACTGCAACGTCTTTAGATCCTCTATCCGCAATCGTCAGCGAGTTTGATTGATCGAGCCAGATACCTGTTTCATCGCAAGCAAATATCGATATGTAGTTGTTCTCCTTTCTCAGCTTTTCCAAATAGAGAATGTAGTCGACGATCCTAGCGAGTATCCTTGGAACTTTCGACAGATGGTTGTTGGTCGGCGCGTGAAAGTCCATGTCGCACGAGAAACTTTTGCAGCCAACCATTGGAGCCTTGAAATCCCCATCGTCGGTCCTTAAAGAGCTTGTCTTTGAAGCATCTGTCGGGTCACTCGCAACTTCTGCTCTCGCTTTTCGCGAAACCAAGCCACTGTCTCGATCAAAATCCGCATCCTTCAACTTGCGACCACCTCCTTGAATCCTCTTCATCGTCTTTCCGTTCTCTTTCTGTTGCTTCTCCAGTTGTTCCTTGTGGTTGCACCATTTTTGAATCACGCTTTGCTTGACGCGATATTTTTTTGCAGTTCCCCGTTTGTTCATCGTCTTCTCTGCTTCCGCAATCGCCCTGAGCTTTGTCGAAACGTCGAAGACCCTTCTCTTTTTTGAAATCGGTTCTTCAGAATCGCTCGAAGAAGACATCGCGCCTAAAAAATCAAAATTAACTAAGAAACGTAACTAACTAACAAAACATAAAAATACGACAAATAAAGTTTCTTTAAGCAACAATCGATTTTTAAATTATGCTTGAAAAACATTTTTTCCAGAGACAACAATGGCCTAAGTAGGTATACGGTAGCGTTTTATGGAGCGCGCACTTTAGAAAACTGATTTTCACTAATCGATTCCACTGTTTTTTTTCAACCCCCTCCAAACGACCCCACTATTAGAGAGGACCCCACTATTTTTTCAACCCCCCTCCAGACGACCCCACTATTAGAGAGGACCCCACTAATAGAGTAAATACGGTAATTGACTTAATTTTTTCAAGAACTTCTTTTATTTTCATCAAATTTAGCTCTCAAAAGAGGAACTCAATGAGTTCATGGCCTACTACGAGCAATGTGCAACGAACAAATTAACTTTGAGAGAAGCTGTGGTATGTTAACTTCAAATTAATGAAAGACTTTAGTTTATTTTAGAAAGATCTTCTCCCACAAGCTCGAGGCAACAATGAAGATGCACGGGAAGAGATCGTCGAGATTTCACTGAAAGAGTACAATGAATGGGCTACGGTGAAGGGTGTCGAAAAGTTCCGCGAACGCTTCGCGAACATGATTGGTTCATTGAAATTTTTTGAGGAAATGGCTGGATGTGAGATTGTTTTTGTCAAGTCGCGCTCGGATTATCTGAAGCTGAAGTCGGATGGGAAAAGTTTTTACGTAAGTCGATTCATTTAAGCCTCAACAGATAGTCAAATACAAGTAGTATTTGACCAAGTGAAGCCACTTGTGCAAATTCTATTTGAATAGCTCGGATATAGCGAAGATTCTAAATGCAAAAATTTACGTAAAATGCCACAACTTTTTGTGAACTTTACTTGAGCAATTGTTTGCTCATACGATTTCAAAGGTAGAAAATTTTAATAGAGATCAGCAACAAAAAAACAAATGGCTTTTTAGGTATTTGAATTTGAATAAAAACGGCTTTTCAGAATTTCTTAAAGGGCAATTTGTAAATAAATAATAGGACTTTCTGATAAAACAAACCATAGATTGATTGGCTCATTATTCATTTCAAAAAGTAACCTTTAAAAAAGCCTGCAGGACTTTCCGGCCAACCTGATGAACTTTCAGGTACTCTTCTACTCGCTGAAGAAGATCTGGAACCAGAACAGTCAAGTTCTCTACATGACCAACCTATTCAAATATTGGGCATCACTCAAAGACAAGGAGCATCTCTATATTGCCGTCAATGCAGACGAACAATCGGAGATCCAATTGGAAGAAGGCTTACCAGAAGGGCCTCGGATTTGTCATTTCGATAATGGAAAATACATCACCACAGACTGCCTTGCTGATTATGAAACCTATCGTAGTACGAATTTTGCAAAGAGAACAGCCGATCCGGTTCCTTCACAAAAGCCTTCTCTCAATCTCATCAGAGCCAGTCTCCCATGTCCGAATGCTGAATGTTGTCGTCAATCGGAAGAGCCGAGAATTTGGATTTGTAAGAGTTGCAATGAGGAGCTCGAATATGATCTGGGGAATAAGTTCTACTGCGGGTGAGTGCTTTAAGATTTGGAATAGAGAATTTTTACAAAGAATCACTGATAATTGCGAGACAAAAATATTTGATTAAGTTCGTTAAATGAAATGTTTGCTAAACTAGTATGGCTATGTGCTTAAATTTTGACAATCGATTAAAAAAATTTAGGTGTGGTGCCTGTGATGTCACGAGTTTCACTTTCCGTTGCTGCAATGATTTTCACGGAAGTGAATTTCTTGCCTTTGATGAGCAACGACTCAAACGCTACTTATCCACATTGACTCCCTATGAGAGGATAAACATTCTGGTAAACCCCACTAATGTTCTTAAAAAGTTTGCTTTCAGGTAATCGGTAAGACTGGTGTGGGAAAGTCGACGTGGATTAACGCGACGGCCACCTATATTTCGCACGATACACTCGAGGCAGCCGCCGCCAACGAGTTCACCTATTTGATTCCCTTTCAGTTCACCACCACAAATATTACACCTGAGAAAACGGAAGAAATTAAGGTAAAAGAAATTTTAAAACTTATTCTGGTAGTCATCTCGTGTGTCCAAAAGAGTTGTTTAAGCAATTGGGATATGAAAGCCTCTGAAAAGCGAGAAGATTTGTTCTTAATTGCATTCTTAGCAAACCGTGAGATTTCAGATCAAGATTGGCGATGACAAGAACGAAGTTTACAGAGAGAAGATGTCATGCACTCAACATCCCCGGGCTCATTATTTCAAAAACAATGTCAGTGTTTCCATCGTTGCGTTCATTTTTAAATTTCCAGGATCAACGCCGGGTTTACTGCATTGTCGACACACCGGGCGTCGGCGATTGTCAGGGAATCGAAAAGGACAAGGAGAACATGCAAAACATCGTGAACTTTATGGGCAATTTGGGCAAAATCAACTTGATTTGCTTCTTGTTGGAGCCAAATGAAGCACGACTCGATGCATCTTTCGAGTTCTGCTTCAAGGTTTGAGGTAATGAATTGACTTAAACTAGATAGTTTTAGGAGCTGATTATGCAATTCCATCGTTCAGCCATCCATAACATTGCGTTTTGTTTTACAAAAGCTAGCGGTGTGGGATATAAGGTTTGCTTCAAAACAAACTGTAAATCTTTAATTGCTTTATTTTTAGGTATCAGAGACAATCGTCCCGTTAAAAACTCTTGTCACTGATATCAAAAAAAAAACAAGGAATCGAAATTGTGCTAAACGACAAGAATCAATTCGTTTTTGACAACAACGCCTATCGATATTTGGCCTATTTGCACAAAATGGTAATATCACGTTCAATTTAAATTACTTGTCACTAACTACTTACTAGGGAAAGGCACGCACTCAAGGTGAGCTTTTGTCTGGACACCTAGTGCCCTTTATAGAGGGTATGAAATCTTGATATCAAAATCGACCAAATGACTTTCAAGACGTGTAAAAATTCGCTTGAAAAACGACAACGCGGCGCTCCCATCGACTACCTCCAAATGGCGGCGACGTCAATTGGATTGCGACGTTGCGCGAAAATTAACATTTAAAATTTGTGACAGAAATTCAAATTTAACATGAAAACGGCTCGAAAAACACATTTTTTTCCCCTCTGAAGGTCATTCTCTACTTGGCTGCAAAATGCTATAAGTGGCTCCAAAAGAAAAACCAACACAAATTGCCGCATCAGGGACCGAAGGCTGGTCATTTGGGCGGAACTCTAATGCGTCTAATGCGTTAGCCCACCAACTTACCGCTTCTCCGCTAGAAAGGAGCCTTTTAAAGCATCCATTTTGACTCCAAATTTTCGATTGAGGTTTTACACGCCTTGAAAGCCATTTGGCTGGTTTTGATTTCAAATTCGGATTCCTCATACCCGATTCTATAAGGTGCACTAGGTGTCCAGACAAAAGTTCGTGCCTTTTCCCTAATTATTTAAAGCTTTATGATTCATAAGATGACTACAGTTGACAGAGTAGTGAATATTTAACTGCTATTACTCTAGTAACAGAACAAAACAATTCAAGTCAGAAATTTAGGAAGAACCCGAAAAGGATCAAACCCTTCTCGATTTGTATGCTCTGAGCTACGAAGTGTCGGCAAAGGCAACGAAGAAGATGCTCGATCAAGCCCTACAAACACGGCCACATCGAGTCGAGGACACCCTTCATCTCAATTACTCGAGAAGAATCATCAAGGAATTGGCACCACCATTAACAATGATTGGAACAAAGGTATTTGAATCAAAAAATGTTAAGAGAATATTTTGTAGGTTGTTGAAACGATTAACGAGATCAAGGCTCAAAAAAAGAGAGCTGATGAAAATCGGGGAAAGGAGAGCGAAATGTTGAAAGTGTTGAAAGTAAAGGTATGGTTAGTAAGTGAGCAATTTGAAACTATACTTTTCAGGTTCGATTCTATCGCTTCAAGATGACTTATGAGAATACGATGGTTTGCAGGAATTGTACAACTTATGTGGAGTACACTGGGGTCGAGAGGGACAAGTTGATTGAAGCGGATCCGAGTCTAGCCAAAGAAAACCCGGTGGTGTTGCTGAGGGGTGGGCACGCTGGAAAGGTTTGTTGTAACTATTAAGGTTAACAAGTTTATTTTTGAGTATTTCTTAATTAAGACCTCGTATGTTTGACAAACTGGCTTAAAGATTTCGACTCGTAGCCAAGAGGATCCCAACTCTGTACACAATGAAAATAGAGCTGATATCTGTTCGATAGGCATAACTATTGTGAAAATATCTCCATTGAACCAAAACTTCAAACTCCAAAACTTTCATATTTAGGTGGACGGTAAATGGACATGCAAAGTATGTGGACCGGATTTTCCTCAAGCGATGGGTAATCGTTCTTATGCCAAAGTCTACGAGGATCGAGAAGAGATCGATGAATGTGTTCAGAAGCGATTGGAAGAAGCAAAAAGTTGGTGATTGATTCAAAAAATTCCAACAAATCTCTCAGCTGGCAAAGAACAAAAAAAAGCTAGTGATTTGATTCAATCTCTTAAACGATGGTTGTTCGTCATTGTAGCATAGTAATCGAACACCAAGATCAACAAACTGATCGAGATCGAGGATAATCAGAAACTACTAATTCAACTCAATTTTTTTAATTAAGGAATTTTAGATGACCGTGAACGTTGTCAAATTCTGATTCAACAAAAATCTTTGTTAAAAGATGAGTTGGAGCAAGAGATGCGATCGATTCAAAAGGCGGCCGCTCAATTTGGTGTTTTCCTGAAAGAAAACTCGATCACCGCCTACAATGATATCACCGAACAGTATCTGTTGATTCTCATGGATCTAGAGGAGAAACAGGTTCGTCATTCACCATTTGAAATACTCCTGAACTGTGCAAAGAAGCAACATGTGAATCAAGTAACATCACTAGCAATTAAGTCACGCACTTTTAAGGTATCTTGTTTAGCGTATTGTTCAGTTTAAAGGCCCGAAAAAGTTTCTAAAATAATAAACTACGAAGTTTTGAACTAAACAACAACATGAACAAGCAGACTATCTACCAATCACTTGGTATAAAGTTTTGTCGTAAACCCCTCACTTTCAGGGTGCTCAACGAGGTGCACGGTATAAGAGTCTCACCAAAATGCTCGAGATTCACAAAAAAGAGGTGGCCATCCTCGAAAAGCACATGAACAATAATGTGGGGAATTTGAAGAAGATCTCATCGGATGATGTGATCAAAACGGCGGAAGCGTTGAAAAAATTGAAGCACTATGGAAAAGATATTCATCAAGCGTTGGAAGGAGTGAAACAATGGGTTTGTTTTTTTTTGCACTTTTTCATTCAAATTACAACTACGAGTCTAGACTATGCATCTTACTGAATTTATATGGTGATCTAATAAAAGCACATGTGTTTGAATATTTGTTAACACCATTTTTCCAGGTGGCCAAGGGTGGAGACGTCGAACCGCCAAGCGTCTACAATCCAAGACGTCAAAAAAATCGTTTCGTCAACTTTCTTCCCAACTTCGTTACGAAACGTCTTTAATTTTGTCTATAAATTTGAATATTTGTTTTTTTTTTGTGCAAAACAGCATGCAAAGTCCTCTTTTTACCTAAACTATTCAATTTATGTGGAATTTTGTGTTCATTTTTCAAATGAACCTTCTTTTCCTTCTTTCTTTCTTTCTTTTCTTGAAACCTTCTTTTCTTTTGAAGTTATGTTAAAACTTTGCTTAGTGATTGGTATTCGAAAAAATGAAAATACAAGCACTATGTAAGAACGATGTAATTTGTAAGATACAATTTCGTATCTTTTGCTAAATTTTAATTTCTGTCTTCTTGAGTAAATATAAAACTTTTCATCTGAAAAGTCCTTTAGTTTTATCCAAAAATAGATCGTTTTCCTCAACTTCCTCACACAATTTATCACAAGTTGGCCCGAAAGAATTACACAAGCTTTGCCTTGAAACCAGCAGCTGCTTGTAGTTTCGATTTCTCTCTTCATTACCTTTTGGTCTCTATAAATGATTCCAGAACAAAAGGTGAACAACGGAAAGCGTTGAGGGCAAAGGCGACCAGCCTAGACACAGCCCAGAACCCTAACTTTTCATCGCTCTACAAAATCTTTAAACAATGCGCCCACTCATTAGCATTTTCATTTCACTTCTCGTGATTGGTAAGAAAGATTTCTGAAATTTAAAAAGCTAAATAAGTTAAGAATTTCAAGTTTCAAAAATGGTTTCTGAATTTGAAATTCAAACATATTCAGGTGTCTGCATGGCCTTTATTCCGGTGACTCTTACAAACTCCGCTGAAAAGGACCCAAATGCTGCACCATTCCCTCTCTGCAACCCCTTTTGTCCAGTTAGTTTTGTTAAATTTTTCATTGAAGTAATTACTTTTGATCCTCATTTTCAGGGTGGTGCCGTGTATGTGTGTTGCGTCAGATATCTTCATGTGCTCGGCGGTTACTGCAATGGATCGGCGGCTTGGTGCTACTGAAATCTTTGTCGAATTCCATGCCATTCGTGTATATTAGGTGCAACTTAGTATAGTTTTTGAAATTATAATTGCATAAACATTCTGAAAAAATGAATTGCAGGCACGACTTGAGGGGACAACAAAAACCTATTGAAATCAACACAAATCAATTGTTATTTTGTAAACATAGGTGTTAATAAAGCTTTGAATATGTCTTTATATTGTTACCATAGGAAAACGCTCACTAACGTTCGGGGTTTCCACTAAGGAGGTTCACGTTTTCCACACAATCTAAGCCCCGCCCCTTTTTGCCAATGACAGATAGACGGACGTCTCTTCTGTTTTATTTTATGTCGTAGCCGATTATGAATCATTCATAATCGGCTACGACATATATACCGTATTCTCTCTAATAGTAGTGCGCACTAATATTTTTTCAACCCCCTCCTAGACCGCAATACTATTAGGTTGTTCGGATATAAACTTTTTGTTGTGAGAGAAGCTTTTAAAACATATCTTTCTGTATTTAAAAGTACGTTATCTTGCGCATATTTGGAAACTTTTTAAACAGATAATTTGTTATTTTTAAGATTTTTTTCTTGCTTTAGATGAACGACTTCGAACATCAAGTTCGCGTCTGTTTACTTTACCACTTCAAACTGGGCAAAAAAAGTCGCGGAATCCCATCGAGATTTGGTGAAAGCATTTGGGAATGATGTATTGTCCGAAAGCCGATGCCGAGCCTGGTTCCGACGCTTTCGGAATGGTTGTGAAAGTCTCGAGGATGATGAACACTCTCGTCGACCTCAAGGGGTAGACAACGATATTTTGAGGGCTGCAATCGAACCGGATCCATGTCAAACGACGCGTGAACTTGCTCAACAGTTTTTATGTTCAAATTCTACCATTGATTAGCATCACCACGCCATTGAAAAGACGATCAGATGCGGGAAATGGCTTCCTCGCGAGTTAAGCAGTGCAAACAAGGCTTCACGGGTCGCTATTGCCGGAATCCTCATCCGCCACGCTAAAGATCATGGCTTTTTTGATTCTCTCGCTACTGGAGATGTGAAGTGGATCCATTTCGATAATACTATTCGAAAACGGAAATGACTAGGACCAGGAGAACGACCAAATCCGATCGTGAAACCGGAGATTCATGGGAAAAAGGTCATGCTCTTGGTATGGTGGAATAACAAGATCCTTGTGTATTTCGAGCTTCTACAAACCGGCCAAACAGTCACATCCGACCTCTACAAACAGCAACTTGATCGGGTCAATGAAGTTCTCATTCGTCAAGGAGTAGACACATCAAAGATAAAGTTCATCCATGACAACGCTAGACCTCACGTTGCAAAGATGACTCAGCAAAAACTGGAGAATCTAGGATGGGAGGTTTTACCACATCCGCCGTATGCTCCCGATTTGGCTCCCTTAGATTACCATTGATTCCGGTCGATTCAAAACTTTTTGGCCAATGAGAAATTCAAAAACCGTGAAGATGTCCAAAATTGGGTCGCCAAGTTTTTCGAGTCACAGCCGGCTGAGTTTTTCAAGAGCGGCATCAATTCTTTGCGCAAAAGATGGCAAGAAGCAATCAATAATAATGGTGAATATACTTTGAATTAAACTGTGTTTTTTCTAAGACTGTTTAACTGTTTTAAAGATCAATTTTGTCAACTACTAAAAACGCTCGTTTATATCCGAACAATCTAATATTAGAGAGTGCACTACTATTAAAGAGTTTTATCATTTACCAAAGTAAGACAGACATAAGATTTGTTCCAAAAATTCTTACAAAAAAAATACTTGCAATTCTTTCACGTACTCCTTTGGCTCCTTTTAAAATATAGTTGTGGGCCGGCGAGTTGACAATTTGTGTCTTGACATAAATAAATTTAGCCATCCCTCTGATGCCGAAAATTCCTCGTCACGTTTCCACATTAATTTGGCTTGGCATTGAATCATTTTTCGTATCTTTGCCTTCTCTGCATATCTTCTTTGCCCGCATTTCTTGAATCCAAGCAACAAGATCCTTGTCAAAATCGCAATTCTTGGAGCTTTCGTCTACTCCCTTTGATTCGCTTTTTTCCTTTTCCGTTATCTCTGTTTTGTTTCTCAAGTTCTTCCTTTTGCTCACACCATTTTTGGACTATTTAGACGACTGACTCGAAATTTTCGCGCTGCAGCCAACTTATCCTTTATTTTTTCAGCAAAATCAATCGCTTTCAGCTTTGTTTGAATGTCGAAACATCGCTTTTTTCCGGACGGTGCATCCTAGTCACACGAAGACTCCTCGGCAACATCGTTGGTCATGTTGTAGCCGGCATTTTGCTCGGCCACTTGATTGTCAATCTTCTTGAAGAATTCCACATGTTCCTCGTGTTCACGACGAGCTCGAAAATTTTCGAATTCATCAAGCGAGTTCCCATCGAGATGCACATACTTAAAGAAAAAGATTATTTAGACAATAGTAAAGGTGACCAACAAAAATTATATAATATTAAAATCGAAGATGATGGATTATTTTCTAGGATTGAGTTTTGATAACAATAAAGCTTAACGCCGCAAAAGGTAAGTCAATTCTCAAACTTTATACAGGTATATAAGAGCAAAAAATGACTATAGCTTTGCGCGAACCAAATTTAAGTTAATGTGCCACTAAAACAATGTGTGGAAACAACCAAAAGGATTTTTTTTACACTTTGCACAACAATTTTAGATTTTTTGCTAACTTTTTCATGTGAAGAATAGTTAATAAATGAATAAAAAAAAAGCCTCACTTTTGCTTGCTTGAATAGCTTTAGAATGTAGACATAAAGTCAAAAAGGTTTAAGAAGCACTATAAATTCAAATTTTCGAGGGTGCGCTACTATTAAAGAGTGCACTATTATTAGAGAGAATACGGTATTTGTTTGTTTTTTTTGTGTGCAAAACAGCATACAAAGTCCTCTTTTTACTTAATCTATTCAATTTATGTGGTATTTTGTGTTCATTTTTCAAATGAACCTTCTTTTCCTTCTTTCTTTCGAAGGTATGTTAAAACTTTGCTTAGTCTACAATCCGCCAAGCGTCTACAATCCAAGCCGTCAAAAAAATCGTTTCCGCAACTTTCTTCCCAACTTCTTCACGAAACGTCTTTAATTTTGTCTATAAAGTATTTTGAGATTTTTCATTTACTTACTCAATACAAATAAATACTCGATTAGAAGTCAATTACGGTTCTTTATTATTGCTTTGATCGTATTGCTTTGACAACTTATGACATCTTGCTGTGTCTCTTTGTAAGTTAGCCTAAAATTTGAATATTTGTTTTTTTTTTGTGCAAAACAGCATACAAAGTCCTCTTTTTACTTAATCTATTCAATTTATGTGGAATTTTGTGTTCACTTTTCAAATGAACCTTCTTTTCCTTCTTTCTTTCGAAGTTATGTTAAAACTTTGCTTAGTGATTGCTATTCGAAAAAATGAAAATACAAGCACTATGTAAGAACCATGTAATTTGTAAGATACAATTTCGTAACTTTTGCTAAATTTTAATTTCCGTCTTCTTGAGTAAATAAAAATTTTTTTTAATCCTTTAGTTTTATCCAAAAACAGACCGTTTTCCTCAACTTCTTCACACAATTTATCACAGGTTGGCCCGAAAGAGTCGCACAAGCTTTGCCTTGAAACCAGCAGCTGTTTGTTGTTTCGATTTTCTCTCTTGATTACCTTTTGGTCTCTATAAATGATTCCAGAAAAAAAGGTGAACAACGGAAAGCGTTGAGGGCAAAGGTGACCAGCCTAGACACAGCCCAGAACCCTAACTTTTCATCGCTCTACAAAATCTTTAAACAATGCGCCCACTCATTAGCATTTTCATTTCACTTCTCGTGATTGGTAAGAAAAATTTCTGAAATTTCAAAAGCTAAATAAGTTAAGAATTTCAAGTTTCAAAAATGGTTTCTGAATTTGAAATTCAAATATATTCAGGTGTCTGCATGGCCTTTATTCCGGTGACTCTTACAAACTCCGCTGAAAAGGACCCAAATGCTGCACCATTCCCTCTCTGCAACTCCTATTGTCCGGTTAGTTTTGTTAAATTTTGTTGAAGTAATTACTTTTGATCTTCATTTTCAGGGTGGTGCCGTGTACGTGTGTTGCGTCACATATCTTCATGTGCTCGGCGGTTACTGCAATGGATCGGCGGCTTGGTGTTACTGAAATCTTTGCCGAATTCCATGTCTTTTCATTTGTATTAGGTGCAACTTAGAAACATTAGTATAGTTTTTGAAATTATAATCGCATAAACATTCTGAAAAAATGAATTGTAGGCACGACTTGAGGGGACAACAAAAACCTATTGAAATCAACACAAGTCAATTGTTATTTTGTAAACATAGGTATTAATAAAGCTTTGAATATGTCTTTATATTGTTACCATAGGAACTTAGAAAGATTAGTATCGCTCGCTCACTAACGTTCGGATTTTTCACACAATCTAAGCCCCGCCCCTGCCAATGACAGACAGACGGACGTCTCTTCTGTTTTATATATAGTAGTTTCCACATAAGTATAATCAAAATCAATAAAAAATAAGTAGTTTAATGGCGGATACGGGAAGGGAATCGATTGGTGCTTTGTGTGTTGGTGATCGGTGAAACGGTGATCGATTTGAGTGTTGCTGTCGAGCGTTCGGCATCGTCTCTTGAAGTTTTCTTCAGAAATATGATGCTGATCGTGCTGAAAAGAATGCTTTAGAATAATTGAAATAACCGCCTCTTAAAACAGGTGAACAACATTTCAACATTTTACTGAAAAAAAAGAGCTTAAACTTTTTGAGACATTAACACAAATCTTTTTCATCATACCAAATCAATTTTTACATTTTTTTTGAACATTTTGTGGGTTATTTGTTTACAATGCCAAAAGAGCACTGGACTTGTACAGAAATGTTAACTCCGCCTCTTTTTTGGTCCGTTTGCCGTTGGCAATCTACGGCAATCTATTTTATTCGTACCTTGACCGGGTTTATTCGAAATTTGATTTCATTTGACTCGAAATCAAATTTTCTATCGAATGAAATCAAATTCAACGTTTTTCAAACAAACCCGATCAAGGTACAAGCAAAATTCGTAGTTTGATAATGGCAAACCGACCGAAAAAAGGGGCAGAGTTAACATGGCTTGACTTGTATCATGAATGCCCAATCTAGACTAAATACCGTAATCGACCCCATCTAGGCTGAATACCCATTCTAGATTAAATACCGCAATCCAGCCAATCTAGACTGAATACCCATTCTAGACTAAATACCGTGATCCGGCTAATCTAGACTGAATACCCATTCGAGACTAAATACCGTAATCCAGCTAATCTAGACTGAATACCCATTCTAGACTAAATACCGTGATCAAGCTAATCTAGACTGAATACCCATTCGAGACTAAATACCGTATCAAGCTAATCTAGACTGAATACCCATTCGAGACTAAATACCGTAATCCAGCTAATCTAGACTGAATACCCATTCTAGACTAAATACCGTAATCCGGCTAATCTAGACTGAATACCCATTCTAGACTAAATACCGTGATCCGCTAATCTAGACTGAATACCCATTCTAGACTGAATACCGTAATCTAGACTGAATATACAGCTAATCTAGACTGAATATACAATCTAGACTAAATACCGTAATGGAGTTAATCTGGACCGAATAACTTAATCAACGTTAAATACCATAATCCAGCTAATCTAGACTGAATACCCATTCTAGACTAAATACCGTAATCCGGCTAATCTAGACTGAATACGTTTTAAACTTTAATTGAAATTAAACTTCTAGCAAGTTTAACTCATTGATTTGAATTTTAAAAAATGCTAAACAAAGCTAGATTTTACCTTTGTCCCAAAGTGAATAGAGTTGTTGTTATGTAAGCGAAAACCACAAAAATAGCTGCTTGAAGCCAAGCGCCTATGAATAGATATTGCCCAACGATCAACAAATTTGTGAGCACATATTGGTAGAAATAAATAACAGAACTGAGAATCATCTAGGAATTAACGAGTAAGTCATTTTTATGAGTAAGTAAAAGCTTTTTAAAGTTTTACCTGTTTCATTAGACGCTGCTCCGCCGGTGACACTTTATTTTTCTTCCACTAACGCATAAAGTTTTCATTTAGCTTTCACGAACAAAAAGTACCTTTTTTATTTTGCGGTAAGTGAAGAAATCGATGGTTATCGTGAATGCGATCAATATTTTGAGCATATAAACACTGAACCAAGTGAATACAAACCACCCAAAGAGCAGATCAAAAAAGCCGAGAAAAAGGCAAACGACGAATTGAAAGAACGGTTGTTTCAATGTGTACTTGAAGAACATCCCGTTAAAAGAAATGGCAAAGAAACGGCTAAACAGTGAATTGAATCGTTTTATTTGGAAAACAAACGGTAAAATTCATTTAATGGATTTATCGATTCTACAAAAGGTTCTACCACTTTCTCAAAGATTAGCAGATGAAAGTTAATATAGAAAGTTAATATAGAAAGTTAATATTGAAAGTTAATATTGAAAGTTAATATAAAAAGTTAATATTGAAAGTTAATATTGAAAGTTAATATTGAAAGTTAATATTGAAAGTTAATATAAAAAGTTAATATAAAAAGTTAATATTGAAAGAAATTAAGAAATTAAGAAGATAGACAGAATATATCCTAAAAGAAGGACCTTTTTTTCTCATCTTGAACGTTTTTCTGATTTAAAGGGGTATTAAAACTTGAAGAACATCCCGTTAAACGAAATGGCAAAGAAACGGCTAAACAGTTTTTCAAGAATCGCGTTCATTTATATATTATTCTATGCGTTTCTCTACAACTATTTCCTATATGAAAAACTAGGTTTCCAATCGAGAAATGAAGAAAAACGCAATTTTTGCTTTCCGCCCTCACTCCTTGTACGAGAGATAAATATTCTTCTTCCTATATCCTTTTTTCTTCACAACTATACGGTCACCAAGAAACTCCATCTAAGGTTTCTCCAATGAAACCCCACAGAGACCCTACGGTTGAACTACAGCCGCAAACTACAGCCTCTTGGCGCTCGATTGAACCAATCAGGTGCCTTAGGCCAATTCCTCAATTCCTTAGTGAAGAGGAGCTCGCCTGACGACAGGCGGACCCTTCTACCTGTGCAGGTTTTACTGGACCAACTGTACAGAATACAACATTACAAAGTGCTAATATAATTGATGCTAAACCTGAGTGACACGTAGATTTGACAGTGAATGTTGATGAGCTGAAGCTGAGAGCCCCAATTTTGGATAAACGAAAAGAAATCTGAGCTGCAAAACGCTGCCAGAGTAGCACTATCTATCTGAAAAGGCCTAAAAAAACAGTTTTTGTTTTTCGACACATTTTCAAATGACTCACGGGATCATAAGCGATGAACAACCCATCACAATGGCCAGACTCATCGTGTAGAGAAGGCGATTCACGTTCTCAGCTGTGGCCACCAGTCTGAAAGTTAGAAGTTAGAAGTTAGACAAAATTATCAAATCAAAGCCGAACATGGTAACAACACTTGAAGCAATGATCAATACACCGACTACTTGAACGAGTTCATGTGGCATCAACAGTTTGATGATGACCCATGCACCTTTTGGAGAATGTTTTGGAAACGATGCTATATGAATTTGCATCATATTGAGCATTCATCAGTGAATGCACTAGATTGAGGCATTGAAGCAGGTATTTGCTCCTTGGTTATTCCATCTACAATGCGCCCAAGCTTTTCTCATTGAAATCTATTGAACCAATGCATATGAAATGGGTAATCCATGTAAATTTCTCCACCAGAGATGTAGTTTTTCGGATTTAGAGTCGTTTAGGATTTAGAGAGGAAAAACTGAATCGGAAAACGGTTTTTCGGAAAAAATCATGCCCCCCACAAGGAGCTCAAAAATTTTTGACGACAGATCAAAAAAATTGGCAACAATTGTTATGTGTGCTCCAAATAAGCGAAAAAACAACAAAATTATGGGTTCTGTCTGCACAAAAAAAAATTTATCGCACCAAACTCCAATTGCTAACACCAAAGGGGAAAAAACCCTCAAGTTACAGGTTATAACAGGTCGATCCTGTCACAGGAAGCGAGTTCAATGTAAAAAACACTATTTTTAGTGCACAGTAAAATTGCATCGAAAATTCAGAGACATGAACCCAGAGAAGTGGCTACAAAATTCTCTTAAATCATTTGGAATAGATGTTTTATTAACTGGTGCTGGAAAGATTAATGTTTAATTAGCTTTTTTATTGCCTTTGTGACGGTTTTATTTTGTTTCTGTTGTACAATTTTCATAGTGTTTGATATAAAGTTTCTCAGGTCGCTTCACAACCGGAAACAACGAGTCTACACTCCGTCTTTGCGGGGTTTAGCGCGATAACTTTTTTTTGTGCAAACGGAATCCATAATTTTGTTGTTTTTTCTCTTAGTTGGAACACACATAACAATTGTTACTACTTTTTTTTCATCTGTCGTCAAAAATTTTTCGATTATATTTCGATTATATTTCGATTTTCTCACAGCGTAATGCTCTCAGCGTAATGCTCTCAACCAGGCTAGTTCCTTAAATTTTCCTACCTGATCGCTGATATCAATTCGTTATTTCTGGCCGAGTGATAGATGGCGATGCAATTTGTCAGGATTGACAGAGATAGCGTCTGAATGGTTGGTGATAAAATACAGTCGAACCTCGTTAGTGAACACGTCGATAGTGAGCTAACCTCGATAGTCAACGGATTTTGGACACTCACGAAAAAAAGCTTAACAAAATACACTAGCAAAAGCCTCGTTAGTGAACACTTTGATAGTAAACTAACCTCGAAAGTAACCGGATTTTTTAAAATCTTTCTGAGTTGATTGATTAATCAAACCTCGATAGTAAAGTATTAATTACAGGGTTGTTCAGGATTACGGGGACTAAGGGTACCTTTGATATCTTATATTTTTGCTTACAATTTATATATTGTTTTTATCTTTCTTTTGGTTGATTTTATTTATTTAACTATTTACTTACTATTTTTCCTCAAAAAATGTCTTTTTTATTAGGTTGATGCATAAGTCTTTTCGTTTTTTTCGTACTTCTGTTAAAAAGTAACAAATTCACCAATTAATCTATAGTTTGCTCTATAAAAGAAGTGTTTTTTTGTTCAATTTCCATCTTTTTAAATGAATTTCGGTTCACTTTGAAGCAAATTCGAGAGTGAAAAACGCCTTTTTCGTAAAAATCTATAAAAAACTCTACGGAAAAATTGGCTGAATGAATTTCTCTGAAATTTTGGCCAAATATCAAACGTTTTTTTTCTCTATCTTTTATCTATTGACACGAAGATAGGTTTTCTTTAGCTAAGGTGTCTAAAGCGCATCATCGAGTTAGCCCTTTTTGACTACCCGACTTCATACTCTCAAGAAAATCCAGGCATAAAATATTTTTAAACCCGTTTTAATGTTATTTTGCAGAAAAATAATTGCTTTTTCTAATGAAATCAACCGTAGTTTAATTGGTGCATTTATTGGCTTGAAACGGCAGACGAAAAGGAACGAAAATACCTATGCATCAACCTAATAGAATGGCCAAGAAGTCCGTATATCAAGAAATGCGATCAACCTACCCAAGCGTGGCGTTTTGGCGATGGATATCTCTAAGCGATCGATGATACGCAAACAACTTTTTTTACAACTTTTACAAACTCTTTCAAGAGTTAGGAACCAATTCTGATCGTCCCGGACGTGGTGTTAAAGCGACCGTTGTCACCAAGGCTATCAAAAAGGTTCGAGATCGGCTATGCTTGAAAGCCACTCGTTCGCAGGCCAGGATGGCAAAGAGTATGGGAATTTCTCGAACCTCTATGGGCCGTATTTTCAAAAATCGTCTTGGAATGAAAGCTTATAAGTTTTTCAAAAGCCAACTTCTTAAATCAGCCAGCAAAAAGAGATGCGAGGATCGTTCGAACCAACTTTCAACAGGATGGGGCACCCGCACGCAAAGCTCGCAGGGTCCAAGATTGGTGCAAGCAGAATTTCTCTGATTTTATCGATTTTAACCAGTGGTCACCATCAAGCTCGGGACTCAACCCTCAACCCAACCCTTCCATTATTCTATATGGAATGTAGTGGAAGCAAAATCATGCTCGAAACCCCACCCAACAGTCGATTCTTTGAAGAAAGGCCTTCAGAAAGCTTGAGACGAGCTGAACAGGCCCTACCTTCTCGCCGCGGACGCGTTCCCAAAGCGCCTGCAGGCCTGTGTTACCGCCAAGGGAGATCTTTTTGAAAAAAAAGTAAATTTTCATGTTAAATTATTGTATTAAAATGAATTTTTGCTGTTTTGGTGTCAGTTTAATGGTGCTCTTTAAATTAAATTAAAATCCTCAAGTTCTTTAGTCCACGTAATCCTGGACAACCCTATAGATAGAACAAATTTACACTTTCCTTCCTTGAAAATTACTTTTTTTATGTTTATGTTTAATGCTAAAATATTCAGTCAATCAAATGAAACCTGCTACAAACACAACTTTTTTAATCTTTTTGCACAATTAAAAAAAAGTAATTCTTGTCTTATTTTAGTTACTCATTTGTTATTTTAAAAACACAATAGTTATTTTCAAAATAAGCTGCTTAATTACATATTTTGGCATCCCATTTCTGTCATTTACGCGTTTTACTTTAATGACCAGCTTCCTATTTCTGTTTTTTTTTGCATATCAAGAAAGATTTTTTTTTTATTTAGGTACGATGAAAACGACGATTTCTTTGGAGCGAAAGAAAAATCTTGCGAGAAATTGATAGGAAATAAATCTCTCAATTAGCCGATGTGTTCAAACTCCTCCATGAAACAATTCGAAAGATTTTACGAACAAAAACGAAGATTTTGAAGGGAATCAATGATGGGACGAAAAAGGAACGAAATCGTCTTCGAGGCAAACACAATCTGATCGAAGAAGCTCTTGTTTCTTGAATTCGGGATACGAGAAGCGAAAAGATGAAGAGGAGAATATACAGTCGACTCTCTCTATAACGGAATGGAAAGGAACAAAAAATTTTTCCGTTATATAGAATGCCGTTATAATAGCTTAGCGTCAGCCGGAACCAAAATTTCATTCCGTTATATAGGTTTCCGCTATATAGAGCTCCGTTATAGAGAGAGTCGACTGTATTGGAAACAAAATCTGATCGATGAAGCCCTTGTTTCTTGGATTCGAGATGCGAGAAGCGAAAATGCGCCTCTTGATGGACCGATTCTCAAGGAAAAGGCTCTTGAATTTGCGAGAGTATATTGGAGTCTCCGGAAGTGACACAAAAACAAGCATACAAAGCTATTACCATTTTTCAACGATGCTTGCGGGATAGAAGTGATCAGTCAATTGCGAAAGCGTGCTATAGTTCACTAACGAGGTTCGACTGTATTTAAAAAACGCATGTTGATTCATTTCAAATTTTTTTTTCCCTTCACTAACCCCAAGAAATAATCCATTCACATATGGGATGATTGAGGAGAATTGATCGAAAGTGATCTCAATCAAGCCAGGCTCGGTTGGATCGAGAAATGCCTGGGATGCACGTTCAGTGATCAGATAAAACGCGAGTGGCTCCACGTTGAAAAGGAGAGCTAAAATCATGAAATCAAAAGATGCTTTATTGGAGTCAAAACGAAGCAACTACAAGTTTTCAATGCAGTGCTAGCAACAACTTAGAAGCACTTTTCAATTGTTCAATTGTTTTTACTGCTGAGTAGCAGTAAAAACAATTGAACTGATTGAAAACAAACCTGCCATCAACGTGCCCACAATTGGAACCTCGAGCACCTCGTGTGTGGCTTCATAAAATCTTTTCACAGCATCGAATACTGCCGTTTTTTGAGTAGACAAGTAATTCATCAAAGTTCTCTTGCAAGAATCGAAAAATGACAAGAGAATGGCAACTGAACGGCTCTTTGAACAAAAATTTTTAAATCTTTTAACATTTAAACAATTCCCTGATGACTTTGCAAATTGTTCATTAAAAGAATTAAATAAAAATAATTCTGTTCGGTAACAGCTATTTGTGCAAAACTTTTAAAATCTCAGCAGACAATTCCCTGGTGACTTCGGAAATTGAAAATTAAAAGAATTAAATAGAAATGATTCTTTTTAATACTATAAAGAACTTAAAATTCAATAATTCAGATTTTTTTTCGCGTAATCACTTGTTAAAAACATAATTAGAGGGGATCTATGTGAGCAGATTGTCAAAAAACGAGCACTTCCGCAAACTGTAATCTTTGTACGAACTCTGTAATTACAGTTGATGCTGAAGAACTTTCAATTGCTAGTTTGCTTTTCGTTGATCAAAGAGACCTAACAGAAAGCTTATGTTATCAGAGCAATTGAATAGAAATAAAAAGAAATAAAAAGAAATAAAAAGAAATAAAAAGAAATAAAAAGAAATAAAAATATAGTAGTGAAAGTTAGATCTATGGATCGTTGTTTATTTACCACCAAGTTTCGAGGTGGGAATTAGCCTATTTTATAGCAAATTTTTCGCTGATTCCGAATATGTAGGTCGTTTGTGTAGAATGGGTTCAATTAATTGCAAAGTTGCGCTGAAGAGCGTCGCAATGCGCGAAGTCTCAATGCGCTCACACTTTAAGATTTTATTTGTTTTGAACCGCATTTGTGCAAAAAGGGTAGCGTTTGCGTTTGGCCGAGCTGCTTTTTTCAACTCCTAAAACTTACCGAAGCGGCCTAGAGCCGAAATCTTTTGAATTTGATTTACTATTTACTAGAATACAAGGTAAACCCTCTCGAGTTCGAGCCGTTTTACTTTTTTGGACTTGCAAAGTTAATTGTTCTCTGCTTTAAATACAAGTTTATTTTAAAATACTTTAAACTTAAACTTTTACACAAAAAAGTAGAACGGGGGACTCGAACTCGAGGAGGGTTTACCTTGTATTCTAAACCCACTGCCACACGCTCATCACTGCTTGTATTCTAACCCACTGCCACACGCTCATCACTGCTTTGAAAGTCCCTGGGAAATTTGCTTATAAACACAGGGTGGGATTTTTAAAATCTCATAAAATTTTTGCACGCTTATGCTTTTGTCTTTTGACAGAGTTTGACAGACAGACAGACATACAGACAGTGCCGTTTAATAAAAACAGAAAGCAGATTCGAATTCAGCGTGAAATTCTGCGTCGAATGGTACAGGTTGCATGTCATTTGGCCGGCTCAGCCAGTTGATCTTCCCAGCTCATGTCATTTGGCCAGCCTATCCAGTTGCCCTTTCTTTGTTAGTTTTTACAAAAGTTTAATGAAGAAAAATAGGTTCGATAAAAGTTTGGTAGCCTAGGTCTAGCCAATATTTAGTAGCCTAGGTCTAGCCAATATTTAGTAGCCTAGGTGGAGCCAATATTTAGTAGCCTAGGTGGAGCCAATATTTAGTAAGATCCCCAAAAAAGCAACCGTTAATAAGACGTCGACGAAAAGCTGGTACGTTAATCCGATCGGCGATCGGTAATCCTTTAAATTTGCCAACGATTCCGTCAAATCCACGTCGATTTTAGCCAGATATTTCCCAGTCACGCTCAAAATGTTCAGTCGATAAACAACAAAAATAGTACTTATACTTTTGATAAGCCCAGCACACTCATTTGGCCCCAGGTGAAAATAACAAATCTGAAAACAGGAATAGTGAAAGGCCCCAGGTGAAAACATCAAATCTCCTTTTTTTTGCGGTAATTGATGTCACAAAAAAACACGCCAGGTACATGGGGCCATCGCTTGAAAACTTTTTTTTGAATCAAGTTTTGTGTTTTTTTTTTTCAAATTTCATGTCCGTATCTTTATCTAAATAAGAAATTTGGACTTTCATTTTGTGCATACACAAAAATAGCCGTAAAAATCACTAGATGTAAAAGAAATTTTAATTTTCTGATCATATATTTATATGCTTTATTCAGTTGAATAGCGACAAGACAAAATCACAATAATTACCCGGGACACCACTCAAAACACACCCAAAAGATAAATGGATACCTCAAGAAAGAATCACAGAGCAGTCAAATCAATTGCCGAAATTGCGGCTTTAAATCTAGCCAAGGTGGAAATATCACGAACATGAGGAGAACATGAGGGAAACGAACAAGAACAAGAACAAGAACAAGAACACGAACACGAACATGTTCCAGAATTTAATAACTCGATTAAAAAAGAAACTGTGGGGGCTTTTAGAGGAAACGGCAGGTTGGCGTATGAGAAAAGGCCCCGTAGGCCTCGGAGAAAAGGCCTTCTGGAGGCGCCCCGTAGAGAGCCGAATTCAAAGAGACCAGAAAAAAGGGGGTCGGGATGAATGCCTTTAACAATTTTAAAGCATTCCACTAAATCGATGATCAGGCGGCGTTGGTGTAACATTTCAAGACCAAAAAGTTGCAATCTATCAGAATAAGTAAAGGAGGAGAATTTGTCAAAATTAATTTTATAAAGAGCAATTCTGGTGAAGTGCCTCTGAACACGTTCTATTTTTTTGAATAAGATTTAATAGGGAAGGAGACCAAACCAAAGAAGCGTATTCAAGAATTGGGCGGACATAAGCAACAAAACACATCCGATAAATTTTGATGTTAGGTATGGTAATAGACCTGAGGATACGGTTAGCACTTACGGAGGCCTTATTACACATGGATTCAATGTGAAAACGGAAACTAAGAGGAGGACTAATAAGGACTCCCAAATCACGCAGATATCCATTTTTTTCTACCAAACGAATAGGATGATTATCGAGGGTTAAAGGAATCGCTTGAAAACTTTTTTTTGAATTAAGTTTTGTGTTTTTTTTTTCAAATCTCATGTCCGTATCTTTATCTAAATAAGAAATTTTGACTTTCATTTTGTGCATACACAATGAATAGCCGTAAAAATCATTAGATGTAAAAGAAATTTTAATTTTCTGATCATATCAGCACTTTTTTTTAACGATTTAAAGCTTTTTAAATTATGAAACGATTCAAAAGCTACGATTTGATAAAAACAATTTCTCGAGAAACGACTCAAAAGAGTAACTTGTTCTTTTTAAATTTTCTTTCGTAATTCTATCAATTTTCCCTTTTTTTCTGTCACCAATCGATCTCTTTATCGGCTGCTCACAACTATTGAAACGGATTCACTTTTGCTATGGACGATCCATCGTTTATTTTCCTCGGCAGTGGAAGTCAAGGATGCGTTGGATTGATTGGAGGACATCCGTTAGTTTTTTGAACATTTTAAGGGGGTGGGACAAATGCGACCTTTTTTTTGCGCACCTGGACATTTGCGCACCTTTTTTTTTGCTGGAAAAGGCCTTAGAAAAGGTCGTAGAGCTTCAAAAATGTTTCATAGAAGGGAATCGTATACGTAGATTCAGAATTTTGACAAATCAGACCTCGCTGACACGTCAAATTTGGGCTACGCAAACTACGCAAAACTCAAAAACTACGCAACTTAACGCTTTTCCGCAGTTTTTGCCTTTTAGCCCAAATTTGACGTGTCAGCGAGGTCTGATTTGTCGAAATTCGGAATCTACGCATACGATTCCCCATCTGTGGAAACATTTTTGAAGCTCTACGGCCTTTTCCAGCGAAAAAAAAGGTGCGCTTTTGCCCTGGTGCGCAAAAAAAGGTCGCATTTGTCCCACCCCCACATCTTAATAATATATAATAAAATCAAGCATACTTCTTTGCTTGCTTTAAGTTGAGTACTAATCGTAAACTAGAGTTATAGCAAAGTCGAAGCCAAAGCAAAGTAGTTAAAGTCATCAAAAAAATTCTTTCCGATTGCCTCCTAAATGATTAAAACAAAAAATTTTTGAGAAAAATGATCGTTTCAGAAAAAAATTGTTGGCGAATAATCCAGCCAATGTGCTCTAGTTTTTAAATTAAGCAGCTATTTCTATTGCCCGCGATTTATTTTAGCACAAATTGAGTCCCAACAAAAGTCCTGACCCATTGGTTGTATTGTTATGAAAACTTTGTTTCTGATACATCTTTCTGGTTTTTCTGAATTAATTTATTATTTTTAGGTAGCGTGCAAGCGATATCTGGATACTGCGGCAAAGGAGAATATTGTTCGAGCTCGTCAACAAGAAACCAAAATTGCAACGTTCTGTGAATTTTTCTCCGTTCCTCGACTTTGCAAACGCCAAAAATTGGAAGGAAAAGTGCACCGAAATGCAAAAATGGTCGACCACCAAAAATAACAACATGGGAGGATCGTGCATTGATCAGGATATTCGTGAAGGACGAAAAACAGGAGCTCTGATGGAGTCAAGATGCACTTCGGAGTTAATGCAGTGAGACAAACGATTCGGAATCGACTCAAATCGGCTCAATTGTTTGCCTGCCGACCAGTACAAAAGCCTCTGATGGTTTTGAGGTATCGGCAATTGAGATTGGCCTTCGCAAAGAGGTACAAACATTGGACAGTAGACGATGGGAAGAGGGTTCTCTGGAGTGACGAGACAAAGATCAACATGTTCAACCCGGATGGTGGTCAAGTAATGCGACGACCTATTGAAACACGCTACAAACTCAAGTATCTTCGTCCTACGGTCAAATTCAATGGTGATGGAATCATGATTAGGGGTTTGTTCACTTTTTCCTAGAATCTACCTAATTGTGTCTATGTTCAGGTTGTAGGTCAGCGTCCGACGTTGGTCCGCTGGTTTTAATAAATGGAATCATGGATGTCCACAAGTACAAAGACATACTGGGGAGTCACATGCTACTGCATGCACGAGCCAAAATGAAACAAGGATGGCTATTCATGCAAGATGGGCACCCGAAGCACACAAGCAAGCTGATGATGGGATGGCGACTGCAGATTCGAAGAGGATTTTTCGTAAGGATGCCAGGCTGGTTTTGTCG